GTGGAAGACGTTCCGGTCACGGGCTGACAGGCCACATTGCTGGCTGTGTCCCCTTAACGTTTCGGAATAAAATGCAGAACTAAGTAAAAGTATCTAGAGGGAGGACTGACTTCTTTTTCTAAAACAAGATTCATCTCTTCTAAACAGACTGTTTTCCCTCTGAAATCCAGGCTCAGTCTACGCCAGCAGCATCTTAATGCGTAATGGACAGCTTTTTTTTTTTCTTAAGAGATTTGAAATAAATAGCACCTTAGATCCACTGTCCTCTCAGAGAGATGGGCAACCTCTCTCGTCCTCTTTACTTTCTGTTCTTCCAATATTTGTATTTGATTTGATTCCTTTTCTTGAGCTGCGGCTGACAGATACCGGTGTGCGAGTTTTCTGCGTGTGGTCTATCGGGACACACGTGTAGAATCGGCTAACGCGTTGATGAGGACACCTAATGATTCTTTGTTGTTTTTTCTGGTGAAAATAGTTCAGATCATTTTCACGCCCTCCGCTCATCCGTCTCTCTGCCTTTCGAGGATGATGTGGGCGCAGAGGGCACGGGGCTGGCTGCACACAGGCCGCGTGGACATTCTCCCTCCTGCATCGCGGTGTCCCTGGCGGTTTCTGCCAGTATCCCCCAGTGTCGCTGGCCACGGAGTCTCGTTTGGTGAGCGCGTGTCCCGTGGGGGGTTCGCGTCTCTGGTCTTCCGTGATGTCTGGCTGCCCTGTTCTCCTCTCTCGGAGAAGCGACGGCTGGAGTCTGGAGTCTGGTGGCTCCGTCTCTGCAGAAGACATGGTCGCCTTCTGCTTTTCCTGCTTCACGGCTGGGCCCCTCCACGCTCGGTGGGGAGCTGAGAGGGGGTGGGTCGCAGAGACGGGTCAGCGGGCTCTGCTTCCGTGGCCAGCAGCCCTGCTCAGGGTTGGCACCAGACCCTGCCTGGGACCCCTAGGGATGGAGAAAAGGGTGAAGTGTAAGCCCAGACCTCCAGGTCAACCTGTGCCTGTGGCCTCGGCCTGCTTGTGGTGCCATTGATGTCTGAAATCACAGTTGGTTCCCCATAAGGACTGGGTCCTTGTGGCAAGGCCACCACTTCCTCCCGGGCCCCTGTTCTAGCCTCACGACTTGGGGCATCTCACCGACCCCGCGGTCCAGCCAAACCCCAGCTTCTCGGAGCCTTCCTCGCTTCGGTGTAGGGGCAGGTGTGCGATCAGGCCACGCCCCCTGCTGGGGCCCCGCCCACCTGCTACCCCCCGCGGGGGTTCTGGAGCCTGACCAGATGCCCTCACCTCCTGACCACCCCACTAAGGGCATATAGGGCCTGCACTCTGAAGATTGGGGTTCAATACCCCTCCACTCCACGGTCACTTTTCAGTGGCCCCATGGTCCTTGTCACCCCATCAGGGGTGGGGCTGGCCCCGATCTCGCTCACGCCAGCAGCTCCTGTGTGCATAGCTGGCCAGACGAGGGCTGAGGCGGCTGGAGAGGGAAGGGCCGAAGGGGCCCGTGTCCCCAGGACTTCTCCGCTGCCCCGGCACGCTGTCTTCAGACTCAGATGTTTAACATCGGGACCCTTTTTCGAACAGACCTTGGCTCCTCACGTTCGAAACGGATAAAGCGGCCTTAGCACACGTTTATTGTACATGTTTACGTGTCTGTCATTTATGGAGAAGATCGATCTCCTCATGGGAAAGAACCCCCCAAACTGCCGTGATGTATGTTAAGATTCGGATTTGGGTGATGGGTGACGGCGTTATTGTTACACATCCCTCGCTTTTCCGTTTTGGCTGCCCCAGATTCAGAAATCCCCGAGTCACGCAGGGAAGCCGTTGCTCACGGCAACAGGTTTTTACCTTGTTTTTACCCATTTGTCTTGCAATCTCCAGAGTCTCCCCAATTAAATTGACCCAGTTACTCGGAGGAAGAGCTTGGAGAACTCTTCCCCACCCCCACCATCCCCCAGAATTGAATCACAGATCTAACAGATGCTCACAGTCTTTCTTATAAATACAAAAATCGGACGAGAAGAACCCCAGGCTTAAAATAAGCAAACCCTGTGCCAAGAATGGCATCACACATTCTGTTCTCGCTGGTACAGGGGCAGGGACAAGGGACAACCAGGTGCCGGTTCTGTGCCCGAAAACCGGGCTCAGATACAGATTTCTTTAAAGAACAGTGTAGAGCTCCAGCCTCCCTGGGCGACTCGTGTATAAGACGTGCGCATCCACGCACGGTCCTGGCAAGGGACATTTCCGTTGAATTCTCACTGAAGAAAGGACTTTATCGGGCCACACGAATTGAGACGTTGATAGTCTCTAAGGAGGGGCAAAGTCGTCGACGGTCATTCGAGCGTGTTTGGACTTTGGTTAGAGTTTTGAAAATACGTGGGAGGGACAGGACTGAAATCAGACGCTTGCGCCTCCGCAGCAGAACCCGGCTTCGGAACCGCCGTGCGGCCCACAGGAGGCTCGTCACGGCCCTTTCCAGGTGCTCGGTCCCCGGGGGCCGTTTCTCGTGGGACGTGCTGAGTCGGCGGGGCGCAGGCCGCCCTCCCGCGAAGGAGGCTCACGCACGTCCCGAGCCCGCCACCGCCTCCTCCCCTGTGCGTCCGGAAGGGTGACCGTGTCCTTCCCCATCTCGGAGGACCATGACTCAGTGATGGCTTTAGTCTCTCTCCCTTCTTCCTCCCTCGAAGCCTCGTCCCGTTTTTGTTTCATAGTCAAACTCTGACTTTTTTTTTTCCTTATTACGAGGTTTTTAAATCAGTGCGTCCGTCATGAAATCCATCACGCCCTCCGGCTGGGCTTGTCGTGTCTTCCGTGAAGCCACGCTGTGTCCTGCAGACACCCCGCTGTCCCCCCGCTTTCCAGGCCCTCTGCGCAGCTCACCACGACAGTCCCTTTTCTCGGGGAAGGATTGGGGTGTGTGCATCGCCAGTCGGGGAAACAGTCACGGGATGTCAGGTCCAGCATGAGAAATACAGCCGATGGCGGTGCGGTGACTGTGTGTGGTGCCAGGTGGGGACGGGGCGGATCGGGGTGATCCCGTCGTGAGTTCTGTAGATGTCTAAGCGCCGTGCCGTCCACCTGCAGCTAAAGCAGCTTCGTATGCCAACGGCGACAAAAGCAAAAATTTAAAAAAAGAATGAAATGAAAAAATGTTCATTATTAAAAAAAAAAAAAAAAACGCACAGAAAATCCCTTTTCTCAGTCCTCGGGTTTAGTCCCAACATTCATTGCTTCTTCCTGACTTTCCCCCTCGCTGTCCCGGGGCCGACGCACGTCCGTGACCGTGACACCGAGCTCTCTGAGGCCCTCACGTGCCCGCGAATGTGTTCCTGGCCTTCTCGCCGGCTCGCACGGTCCCCTCGGCTCTAGTGGGCTCCCCCGTGTGACCTCCCCGGTCACCGTCTGCGCTTCCCATCCCCGAGGTCCCATGAGCCCTGCCCTGCCCTGGCCTGGCCCGCGTCCGAGGCCTCCCGCGCTCGAGGAAACATCGATTTGAGAAATCCTGCTGTAACTTCCATCTGGCCTTCTGTTTTCTCCACGCGTGGTCCTCTTGGGTGTGTGCGAGGCTGTTACTCGTCTGAGAAGTAATTCTTCGTCCCTCTCCCGGACTGAGCCTTCTTGGACGTCTCTGCGTCCGTCCCTGACGGTGGCTCCTGGGCCGAAGGCTGCTCTCAACTGTCCCGCATCTGGCTTTTCCGTCTTAAGCCCCTCGGGAATAGAAAAGGCTGCTTCGGGCTCTGGGGACGTGGGGAGACCTTCCCGGAGGCCCCCTCGGTGCTCAATGAGGGGAGCTCGACTCCCTGGCACCGGAGCCTGGAGTGGTTGACTCCGAGTTCTGCGGAGTTTGTTTCTTTAGTTAACGGGGAAGACTGTTTTAAGGGGGCCCCGGATTTGCGTTCACTATGGTGAGGCACGAGGCACGGAGGTGACTGTCATGAAGGACAGTCCACTCGTGGCTGCCTGGAAACAGGAGGCGTCAGCTCCATGCTGAGCCCCATGGGGAGGTGGCGGGCAGAGCAGGGGGCCAGGGTGGGGATAAGGGGACGTGGGCGCGGGCCAGCGTCGTGGTTTCCGGGGACAGGGATGGACAGAGCAGGGTCAGGAGGCTCGGGATCGGCTCATTGGAAGTTTCAGCGGAGGGGCCTAAGGACTGTCTCCGGCTGGCCCGTGGCTCCGGGTGGTGGTGGTCGGGGCAGGTGGCCAATGGCCTGGAGAGTAGGGGCCCCATCAGGGGGCCCGGCGGGGTGTGGGCTGGGATCGCTCGGCCCGAGTTTGAGAGGCGCACTCGTGGGCACGTCGCTGGCCATCTCCAGGCACCGGCTGAGCCTGGTCGGGGAGGAAGGGGGCAGTTCTGCCAGGGTCAGCAAGGTCCCAGGGGACGAAGCGTCAGAATACAGAAAACGAGACGCAGACAACGAGGCCGTCGGCGCTGACCGCTGGGTCTCCGGTCAGCCCGTCCCGCGTCTCTCCCCGACTTACTCGGGTTGGTGACTCCCGGCTGCTGAGCACTGTGACCACGATTCTGCCGTCACCCCGGTCATCGCTGCTCACAGAGCCACCGACCGCCGGAGCCGGGCTGCTGCCCGCAGCCCCGAGAACGGGGCCCCCGTGCAAGCTGGCCGCGGGCTGGGGGCGCAGCGGGGCCGAGTCCCCGTGTCACGGGGCTGCTGGTGCGTCCGTTTCCCACCCGCCCCCCGCCTCCTTCAGACGGGCCCCTCTGCAGACGCCGCCCAGACTGCCTTCAGGCTCCATTTTTGCTAAGGACATTTTTTTTTAATAAAACGATGGTTTGTGCAAAGTGGCGGTGGACACTGGTCCCTTCCAGCCTGTGCCTTGAGTGTGGGGGGTGCTGGGTCTCCCAAGTCAGCTGCAAAACAGGCTCGTAGTTGGGTGCCCGGGGGGCAGGAGGACACGCAGCACCTCATGGAGCTGCTGGACCGCGGCGGTGACAGCCCCAAGGCCACCAGGGCGGCCACGGGCTCACGAAACCCGTCTCCTGTTTGCAGTGCCGACGAGAGATTCGACGCCACCTTCCACACGAACGTGCTGGTGAACTCCTCCGGGCATTGCCAGTACCTCCCCCCAGGTAAGGGCCGCCCCCTCCGCCCGCCCCCGACAGTCGGGCGTGGGTCCCAGGGAGGCCCGGAGGTGCTGGGCACCCTCGGGGCACCTCGGCCCGTCCACACCCGCCCCGCCCGCTCTGTCCTCTGGGGCTGCTCACCTGGGGAGGGCGCCGAGGCGTCTCCTGTGTTTCGTGGGAAGGTGGCTCAGGCCGTCTTTGCCGACCCTCGGCCCCGTGGTCTTCAAGGTCAGTTCACGGCTGGCGCCTCACGAGCTGCAGGCCGCCCCCCTCCCCGGGCCCTTTGGTCACACGCACAGTCATGTGCACACACACTCACAGGCACATTCACACTCACACTCACATGCAGATGCACACTCACACACACTCACACACACACTCACACTCGCATGCACGCACACACGCACGTTCACACCCTTGCTCGGGGAGACGCACACAGCACGCGCACGGGCTCTGCCTGCTGGGCGGGTGTTTACCCGCACCGCTGTCAGCAGACGATCATCATCCAGGAGCAGAGTCATCACTCACCTTGGACCCTCATCATCAAGCAGGCGCCTGGCCCAGGGGTCGACAGTGGACAGATGAGTGCGTGAGTGACCAGTGAACAGCAGGCCCTGGTGACGTCTGCACTGGTCGGAGGCCCACAGAGTTTCAGGCTTTCTGTCTGAGGCACGTGCCTCTCGTGAGGTTCCAGCCCCACCCGCATCCTGGAGGCCAAGCCCCCTTCCTCCTAATGGCCCCTTGGGGACGGGCGTGGGACGCCTCAGTGGGGAGGGCCGGTCCAGCAAATGGCCTCCAGCCGTCATCAGCCGCCGTGAAGGCTGAGGCTGTTTTCAGCTCCGGGAGCTACGCTCCTGGCCCCCAGGCCCCTGCATGCAGCCCCCTCGGGCTGTGCCTGCGCCCCGGGAGCCTGGTCAGGACGGGACACTGTGCTGTGACTGTGGTGTCCCCCTGCGAGGGCAGGAGCTTGTGGGGTCGTGGGGCTTGGGGCGGCCGTGCCCTAGGGAAGCGTAGACTGGCCTGGATGCTGCTGAGCGCGGGCACAAGCTTCAAGACAGAAACTTGGCCGTGGAGTAGAGACTTGGGTTTCTTTGTCATTTAGTGTTTTTGTTTTGAACAGTGTTATCGATGGTGATAAATTTACGTATCATACAGTTCACCCGTTTGAAGCGCACGAGTCAGTGGCCTTTAGCGAGTCCACAGAGCTGTCAGCCATGGCCGCGACCTAGCCTGAGAACATTCGCCATCACCCCCAGAACATCCCTTTTGCCCGTTTGCAGTCAGCCCGCCCGTCACCACCAGCCCAGGCCATCACGGGTCTCCTGTCTCTCTTGGGTCACTTCATAAAGATGGAAGAACTCAGTCTGGAGGCCCTGGGAGCCCTGTGGGCTCGGGGGCCCGAGCCGCGAAGGAGAGGGCCGTGACTAATGAGCCCCAGCCCACCACGGCCTGGATGCAGCCCTGGGGGGACAGAGCTCACTGCTCGCCCCCAGCCTGGCTGAGGGACGGGGTCCCTGTCTGCATGCTGGCCCCTTCCGTCCTTCATCCTTTGTCGAATTTGGTAGCACAAACGAGCAGCTCGCCGGCCCTGTCCCGCTGAGCACCAGGACCCCTTGCTGTCTGTGCCCTCCGCTGCCTCCCAGGCTCCGGGCAGGACTCGTGTGTGTGACCTGGGGACCTGGGGAGGCTCCCCTGGCGGTGGGAACTCGCTACTACCCATGTACTGTCTTCTCTGCTCCAGCCAGTTAACCCCGACTCTTGCTTGTGCCCACGAGTCTCGTCTGTCTTGTTTGCTGCTTCCAGTTTTACGTCCCACATAGGAGTGAAATCACAGGTTCCTCTTTTTCCGGCTGACTTATTCCGCCGAGCACGATAATGTCACGATCCAGCCGTGTCGTCACAGACGGCAGTGTCTCGCCTTTTCCGTGGCTGAGTCGTGTCCCGTCGTACGTACGGACCACGTCTTTATCCGCCGTGCATCGTAGGGCACTTCGGTTGCTTCCGTGACTTGGCCGCCGTGAACGGTGCTGCTGTGAACATCACGGTGCATGTAAATGTTAAGGATAAATGTTTTCGATTGTTTTGGTAAATGTCCAGAAGAGGGATTTGCTGGGTCATGTGGTAATTCTGCTCTTAATTTTTCGAGGACTCTTCGCAGTGTTTTTCATAATAAAACAGCCTTGTTCTGTTCTTAGTCTAGAATTCAGACTCGTTAAAATCACCCTCCACATATAGTTCTAGATTCCCAAGTATTTTGCTCAATTTTTAACCGGAGGAAAATACGCATCCTACGTCTCCGGAACTTTTAAACCTGTCCCCGTGGCCCGAGCTCAGACCTCATCCTCTTACCCCTGGACCATTGCCTCCACCTCTTCACATCCTCTCGGCTTCCAGTCCCACCCACACGGGGCCCCAAAAGGATTTTTCTTTTTTTTTTTTTTAGGTGAGGTTGACCTCACAGATGGCAAAGACCTTGTCGGCTTACAATCCCTTATTTTTTACGCCTATGGCACCCAGTCTTCCTAGGTGGTCTCCTGTCCAAGTACTAACCAGGCCCGACCCTGCTGAGCTTCTGAGATCAGACGGGATCGGGCACGTTCAGGATGGCGTGGCCGTAGACAGCATCTCTGGGACTTTTTACATCCTTTACTTTTATTATTTAGAATTTGGCGATGTGCACGCACAGGAAGGCCAAGTTCACCGAACTCATAATGATTTACCCAGAAATCCCTCAGAAAAATCTTCGGTAGAGCATCTTGAATTTTAAGACAGTGAAGCCTCCGCTGAGCTTTTTCCTGGAGATTTTTTTTTTTTTCCAAAAAAGACCCAGCTCGTCCTGTGCAGACCTAGCCGCAGTCTGGATGGGCAGGACGGGCTGGAGCCCATGGTCACCGTGTGCCCACATCACCCTCCGTGAAGGGACAAGGGGGCTGGAAGGCGTGTGCACGGGGTACCACGTTCAACTTGCCAGCCCTTTACCAGGCCAGCAAGCTGTTCGCTCCAGACGTGTTGTGGTATCGATGACAAACGAAATCGTGACATTTCTAGAGCGTTTAGTGGCGAAGGCGATCTGCTCATTTCAGTCTCGAGCTGCTCTCTGTGATCGGCCGGCAGGTGCAGCCTGCTTTGCTAAGAGTTAGAAGGTGCGCAGATATGAGGCTGACCTTTATTTCGTTCGACTTTGACTTTATTTCGTTTTATTTTACTTTATTTTATTTCACTTTAATTTACTCTATTATGGTGAAAATGTCTGAGATCTGCTCGCTTAGCAGATTTCGGGTCTACAAGATGGTTAACGACAGTCACCGTGGTGGACATCGGGCTCTCGAAACCCATCCATCTCGTCCCTGAAAATCTGTCCCTTTTCCCCAGCCCCCAGCAACCACCATTCGGCTCCGTGTCTCTATAAGTTCAACTTCCTTTTTTTCAAATTCCACGTAGAAGTGACACCATCTCGTGTTTGTCTCTCCCTGTCTGGCTGCTTCCGCGTAGTGCGATGCCCTCGAGGTCCATCTGTTTCGTAGCGGGTGACAGAATTTCGTCCTTGTTGAGGCCGAATGCCATTACACGTAGGCGGGGCATGTCACGCGTGTGGACGCTTGTGCCTGCGCGTGCGAGCGTGCGTTTTCAGCCACGTGTCCCTCAGCATCACTTGAATCGTCGCCACATCTCGGTCATCGCGGCTGATGCGGCGGTGACACGGGGCGTGGGCGGAGGGGGCAGGTGTCCTTCAAGAGAGCGATTCTGTTTCCTTCGGGCGAATACCCTGAGGTGGACCGGCCGGGTCACGGGGCGCTTCCAGCGGCCATGCCGGCTCGTGTCCCTGGCGGGGGGACGAGGCCACCACGCTCGGTGTCTCCCACCTGGGAGAGCGATTCTGTTCCCTTCTCACGGTCCCCCTGCCAGGCATTTTCAAGAGCTCCTGCTCCATCGACGTCCGCTGGTTCCCCTTCGACGTGCAGCATTGCAAGCTCAAGTTCGGGTCCTGGTCGTACGGAGGGTGGTCCCTGGACCTGCAGATGCAGGAGGCGGACACCAGCGGCTACATCACCAACGGCGAGTGGGACCTCATGGGTAAGCCCAGCGAGCATGCGACAAGCAGCCCATGGGGCCCGCTCCGTGCCTCCGAAGCCGGGGACCGCCCGCTCCGCTTGGTGCCGCGTGGCTGTGTGGCGCTCTGCGGTGTCCCCCGTGACTTACTGAGCTGTAGGATGGGACTCAAAGCGCCGAGACAATCCACGTCTCACACGGGGCCTGGCGAGGGGACAGGTGAACGAGTCAGTGCTGATACAGGCGCCCTCCCGTCCCTCAGATCTGCTCCTAAAATCCGAATCCCGAAATCCCGCTGGACAGCAAGTCGCGGGTGTGGGCGCCTATGTTCGATGTGACGTTTAAGTAGAAAAACAATAGTGGCGTTTATAACGGTGCCGGCACCACGGAGACACCCCTAGGAGACTGTGACCAGTGAGAAAGGGTTATTCGAGCTCCGATGACGTCCGTCTCCAGCACTGACCGGACCCCGTGGCTGTGTGTGCGCGTGCGTGTGTGTGTGCGTGTGTGATGCCGTGTGTGATGCTCCTTCCCACACACGAACGGGGTGATTTCATTCAAACCATGGTCTCTTTTCTCCTCCTCCCCGTGGAGGGGTCCCCGGCAAGCGGAGCGAGAATTTCTACGAGTGCTGCCAAGAGCCATACCCGGACGTCACCTTCACGGTGACCATTCGCCGCAGGACGCTGTACTATGGCCTCAACCTGCTCGTGCCCTGTGTGCTCATCTCTGCTCTGGCCCTCCTGGTCTTCCTGCTGCCTGCGGACTCCGGGGAGAAGATCTCCCTCGGTGAGTGCCCGGATCCCCCGGGGGGCGGCCGAGCTGGGACGGGGGACACCCAGCTCTGTAGGGGGTCCCCGTGGGCAGCCGGGCTCTGGGTGCGGAGATGTCACAGGGCCTGAGTGTCACCTCACATGCTGCGTGGTGTCGGGGACACCTGACTCAGGCTCTGTGCTGGGTGGCCGTGCCCTGGGACATCAGAGCGTCCTCTGACCCCGTGGGGGGTGGGAATGTCCCCGACGGGCCCGCGCTTCCTCCCTGCCTGTCCATCCCTGCTCTGCTCCGTGGTGACGATCAGCCAGCTCTCCTTGTGGACAGGAAAAAGTTAGTCAGTTAAATCCCTCATAGTGGCCTTTGTCAATCGCCCTACATGGTGTAATTTCTTCAGATCACCCGATAGGAAGACAAGACGACTTAAGATTTAGAAGGGCGGATGCGTGTCTCACCATCTCAGCCACAAAAAGCACGTTTAGCACACGCGGAAACCCCCGGCAAGCGCGCACCCTCTGCCTGCGGGGCCCGGGCACGCTAAGCGACGTGCCCAAGGTCACACAGCTAGCGAGGGGCAGGGCCAAGCCGGGAGCCCCGTTCCCGTGCCCGTGGCGTGAGAGATGCTTGAGCAGCGTTCGGCGACGCGTCTGGGGTTGATCCTCTCACGTCTGGCGCCTACGGCCGTCCCCACCAGGGACAGCTGTGCCACGCTGGCAAACGGCGTGGCTGTCCCCAGGAAGCCGGCCACGCACTCGGCGTCGGGAGCGTCTGGGACACCGCCGCCCGCCCCCCGCCCGCCCCTCGCTCTGGGGCCCCGGGCTGGGCCCCGGTGGGCGGAACTCGGGCGCTGTCTCAGGCGCCCTGTGACGCCGTTTCAGGGATAACGGTCCTGCTGTCCCTCACCGTCTTCATGCTGCTGGTGGCCGAGATCATGCCTGCGACATCCGACTCGGTGCCCCTGATCGGTAAGCGGGCGCCGGGCTCTGCCTGGGGACGTGGGCTCAGCAGGCGCTCAGCATGTCCCAGCACAGCGTGGGGCAGAGCTGTCCCCACGGCCACACACAGCCACTGCCCTCTGGCCTCTGCCGGAGGGGTGACCCGCGGTAACTGTCCAGAGTGCCCCTCGCCTCCGCTCACCACGCAAGGGGCGGGGGCCCGCCGTGCGGTTGGGCTGCGCCATGCGGGGTCACCCCCTTCCTCCCAGGCCTCCCCATCCGCCTCACGCTCGTTATGCAGCCGAGGTTTCACCGTTAGAGATGCATTATTCCAGCTCGCGTGGTTTTCCCACAAACCTCTGTTAAAATGGGAGCCGCCCACGCTTAAGCCCCTCGCCACTGGTGTCTCTGTGGGGAGCGTGGGAGGCAAGTCAGTGGGACAGGCGTGCGGGCCAGGTCGCGTGTGAGGCATGGCCTCGGCCCAGGGAGGGACGCCGGGGCAGGAGACGCCGTCCCCTGGCAGCTCGTGGCAGGATGCGGGACGTGCAGAGGGCGCTCGGGGGTCCAGGGCTGGGGTCCGGCCCCTCGCCGCTGGGCCGGGGCTCCGATCCCAGTCAGGGGGCAGGCGTCCTGCCAGGGGACATCGGGGCGAAAGCGAGCGTCGTCGCCCACCTGGGTGGCGGAGGCGAGAACCTGGACCACATCCGTGGCGGCTCCTGCAGGCCCACGCCCCCCGGGGGCCCTCCTGCATGGTGACTGCGGTGGGTGGGAGTCGGGGAGCCCCCCGTGGATACCCCAGCTTCGCAGACTGAGCAGGCAGGGCCCTCATTGGGGGAGCTCCCGGATTGAGGAGTATTTCGGGCAGGGACAGACCTTCGCGAGCACCCTGTTCGGTGCCGTCTGGAGAGCCAGTGCCAACCACCTTCCAGCCTGACCCCGGCCTCTCCCCTCAACACATGCTCTCGGCCGCGTCGCGACAGAAGCCCTCTCACGGGGGTCGGCGGGCCCCGCCTGACCCACGGGCCCATGGGGAAGCCTCGGGTGACACACAGGCCACGTGGAGGACGGAGTGCCGTCGACCTCTGACCTCTGCTGCCGACACTTCAGCTGTGCCACCCTTTGACCTTGGGCCCCTCCATAGGTCATCGTGTTAGTCCGCTGGGGCTGCCCCAGAACCCCGCAGACGGCAGGGCTCACACACCAGAAGTGTATTCGCTCCCATTGTGGAGGCCGGAAGGCCAAGGTCACGATGCCAGCGGCAGGGCTGGTCTCCTCCGAGGCCTCTGTCCTTGGCCTGCGCGCGGCCACCCTCCGTGCGTCCCCGGCATCTCTCTGTGTGTCCGCATTTCCTCCTCTCATGAGGACACGGGTCAGATGGGATGGAGGCCCCGTCTGTCTCCAAATACCGGCTCGTCCGAGTCCTAGGAGTCAGAGGAGTTTTAGGGGACACGGTGTGGCCCCGAACAGCCGCGGTTTGGCTGCCCTGCCCCTTCTGGGGGGTGCGTAACGTGAACTTTAAGTCGCAAACGTCCGTTGCGGCAGCGCCGTGCGGGTGCGTCTCGGTCTCTGCGGGACGTGTCCTTAGCCGAGCGCGTGGCCTCTGTGCCGGGATGTTCCTGCTCAGAGCTCGGCCCCTCCGAGCAGCGACCACACGGCGGGTTTAGTAACCAGGGGTTAGGGAACGTCTCCCGTGCCAGGCTTCATCCTGGACCCCGGGCCCCTGCGACTGCTTTTTCCCATATCAACCCCGCAAGGCCACGGCCTCCCTGTTCTCGTTGACCTGAGCCCCAGAGGCTGAGCAGCGTCCGGAGTCACGGGTGGCAGCCCGTGGACCGGGGAGGCGGGGTGCGGTGTGGCTCTGTCACAGGCCCAAGCCGCTTCTCACCTGGGCCACAGTGGACACTCACGTCCCTGCCCAGCGGAGCCGACGCTGATGTGGTCGGCCTGAAAGTCACTGCCGCCGGCCTCTTCCTCGGGCTGGACGACGGCCCCCTCCCCCGGGGTCTCTCAGTGGGTGGGGCCAGACTCCTTTTGCTCAGCAGCATCCCCAGTGTCCAGGCCTGATAGGACAGCCAGGCCCGGCCCCGTCACAGCCCAGCATGTCCCCGCCCCGCGGTCGTCACGGTGGTGCCCACGCCCTCGGCATCGGGTGTTCCCGGCCCCATAACGGCCTCTGTGCTCAGGTCTGGTGGGAACCACCTGTCAGCGTCCTGTGAGAGGCCGTCCCCTCCCGCAGCAGGCGAAGGCAAACAGGCGACCGTGTCATCAGCGCGGGGAGGCGGGTCTTCGGGCTGTGGGCGGTGGGCGGTGGGCCGGCCTCTGCCGGTGCGGGGTGGGCTGCAGCCCTGCCCACTCTGCGGCTTCGCCCCCTGGCGCTGGCAGTCAGGGGGCGTGGTCCAGCGGGTGCCACGGAGGTGGCGGAGGTCGCAGGGGTCACGGGGGTGGGAGAGGTGGCGGA